TGAACTGCGTGTCAAATTTCTGGGTCATATCAGTGGTATCAGAGCTCGTCTTTCCTCGTCCATGGTGACAATTAAGGAAGTGGCATCGCAGGTGGAGGGTTTCGAAGAACACTTGACTTCTCTGCATTCTGATTTTCGTGTGGAGATGGATGGCTTACGCAATGAGATTTAGCGACTCAATCCAGAAAAGGTAGCAGCTGGACTTTCGAAGATCTCGTCTCTGGAAAGCTCGGTACAATCTCTGGAAGGAGGCATTCAAGATCTGGTGAGACGTTTTGATCTGTTGCTTCAGCAACAGGCCTATTCAGCTCCTTTGTCCACGACTGACATTGCTCCTCCTTTAGTCGCATCGAGTCATGCAGCTGACAAAGGGAAGAGTGCGGCATTTCCGACGTCTTCCTCGACGCCGGTGCCGGAACATACTCCTGATTCACTTCCTCGGAAGTTGGAGTTACCTATTTTTGATGGGGAAAATCCAGACGGTTGGCTTTTTCGTGCGGAGCGCTATTCTGAGATTAATGGATTGCTTCCAGTAGAGCGTCTGTGAGCTGCAGTTGTCTGTCTAGAGGGCGATGCATTGGTGTGGTATTACCGGGAAGTTGGTCGGCGACCTTTTCGTGGTTGGACAGAATTCAAAGAGCTTCTCCTTGAACGTTTTCGATCGACTCAAGAGAGTAATTTACAGGAGCAGCTCTTCTCGTTACATTAGTCTTCTACTGTTAAGGGATATCATCGGCACTTCGAGGTGCTCTCCGCTCCCTTACGTGACCTGCTGGAATCAGTCCTTGAAGCAGCATTTGTTAATGGGTTGCACGACCCTTTCCTGAACGGTGCCATGAAGCGGGGTGACTGGTATAGAACCAAAGACTTSGTACCTAAGGGCTCTGATTGGATTGTCAATGAAATGAAGAAATCTGGTCTTCGAGGTCGTGGTGGAGCTGGTTTTCCATCTGGCCTGAAGTGGTCTTTCATGCCAAAAGTATCTGATGGCCATCCTTCTTATCTTGTTGTCAATGCTGACGAGAGTGAGGCAGGAACATGCAAGGACAGAGAAATTATGCGCCATGACTCACATAAACTACTAGAGGGTTGCCTGATTGCAGGGGTTGGTATGCGGGCCACTGCTGCTTATATCTACATAAGGGGAGAGTATGTAAATGAGCGAAAAAACCTTGAGAAAGCAAGGAGGGAAGCTTATCAAGTTGGACTTTTGGGAAAAAATGCATGTGGATCTGTATATGATTTTGATGTTCATATCCACCATGGAGCTAATGCTTACATTTGTGGAGAAGAGACGACGTTGTTGGAAAGCCTTGAAGGAAAACAAGGAAAACCAAGGTTGAAGCCTCCTTTTCCAGCTAATGCAGGGCTATATGGATGTCCAACAACTGTTACAAATGTTGAAACTGTGGCTGTTTCCCCACTATTTTAAAGTGTGGTCCTGAATGGTTTGCTAGTTTTGGYAGGAAGAACAATTCTGGGACAAAACTATTCTGTGTCTCTGGCCACGTGAATAAGCCTTGTGCAGTTGAAGGGGAGATGAGTATTCCATTGAAGGAGCTGATAGAGAGGCACTATGGAGGAGTTAGAGGTGGATGGGATAATTTGCTTACAGTGATACCAGGGGGTTCTTCTGTTCCACTGATTCCAAAGCACATATGTRATGATGTGTTGATGGATTATGATGCACTCAAGGCTGTCCAAACGGGTTTAGGGACAGCTGCTATAATTGTGATGGACAAGTCAACTGATATATATATATATATAATTCATATTACAATATTGACTATGCCCCTACTTAAGTATGGGACATGTAACTTAAAAGAAAACAAAACTAACAAAACACAATTCAATATAGGAGGAAAGGACAGAAATACCCCTACTAAGCCGACTCTAACACTCTCCCTCAAGTTGGAGTGTATATGCCATATAATCCCAACTTATTACATATATAATACACTCTCCTTGAACTCAACCCTTTTGTGAACAAGTCTGCCCACTGATCACCTGAACTCACATGCTCTATGATTATCACGAAAGACTGGATTAAATGAGATGTGGATTGCAGCTTGGTTGTCACAATATAGTTTCATAGGTTTGCTCATTGAGAATCTAATTGCCTATAGAAGATTTTTCAACCATACTCACATGTAGTGTGTGCCAACTACCATGGTCGTATATTCAGCTTCAACACTACTTGCCACAAGTGTACTTCATCATACTTTTCCATGTGACCAGATTTCCTCCATGAAAGGTGCAATAACTTGTAGTGGATCTCCTATCAGACACCGAGCCTGCCCAATCTGCATCCGTATAGCCAACTATTTCAAGACTTCCTCCTAGCTGGTAGAACAACCCGTGACCTAGTGCTCCAAATACCACACAATTCTAAGAACAGCATTCTAGTGACAGACTTGGAGTTTTGCATAAATTGGCTTACCACAGTAACAACAAAGCAGATATTTGGTATAGTAATAGTTAAGTAGTTCAGCTTTTCCACTAACCATCTATATCTTCTAGGATCATCAAACATTTCACCTGCATCACTGCTTAACATTTGGTTCCATAGGTGTTTCAAGTAGTTTAGCACCTAACAGTCCTGTTTCTTCCAATAAACCAATTCCTTTGGAACAAATTTATATCTTGCTTCGACCTGACAACTTCTATAACCAAAAAATACTTCAACTTCCCAAGATCCTTTGTCTAGAAGTGATCTTGTAGAAAGGTTTTTAGCCTGTCAATCCCTAATCTATCATTGCCAATTATGACGATGTCATCTACATAAACCACTAGTAAAATCTTCCTGGCTTTAGAATCATAACTGAACACTGAATGGTCAACTTGACATTCTCTAGTGGTTGCTCCATGTAACTTCCTCTAGAAGATCACCATGGAGGAATGCATTTTTAATGTCAAGCTGAAATAGTGGCCAGTCATACATAACTGCTAATAAGATCAAGACACGAAGTACCAATCTTAGCAATAGGAGAGAAGGTACATAGTCCACTCCATATAACTGAGAATAACCCTTGGCTGATAGAGCTGATATACTCTTGTAGTATTGTCCTGTCCAGAGTAAAGTTTCTTAGCATGATCCCATATTTCCTTGGCTGTATCTGAGAACATAAAGTATACACTTATCTTTGGGTTCTATACTATTCCATAACCATGTCATAATTTGAGCATCTTCTCGCTCCCAATTACTAAACCCTAGGGATTCAGCCAATGGTTTCTCCTCCTTCACATGTTTCACTTTCTTCTTACCCTTAGAAAAACCTCCACTGACTTGGCCCACGACAGATAATTTTCACCATTGAGTTTAATTGATGCTATCTGCACACTTAGATAATCCTGGGGGAATCATCACACTAGATTTCTGTTCACCACTAACATCTCCAGTTGTTGCCATCATGTTCTCTACTCAAGAAATTATCAGTACCTTTCCTAATATTTAATTATCACCCCCCAAAAAAAAGATTACTGCTGTTATTTGAACATTACAGCAGTCCACTCACCACCCTACGACACTTTCTCATCCAACCACCATGAGAATACGTATGGGATACCATTCAGGTACATTCAGCCATCTTCATCACAAAAAAAGAGTCACAATTTCTACTAGCACCAATTCTGTCAACCAATTAGAGAAACCCCTCTTGAAACTGCTCAGTAGAGGGTTCGAACCACCATACACACCACCACACAACCACTAGGGCTGTCACTCATGGTGACAGCAGTCCTGGGAACACCAGACTAGGGCTGCCGCAGCCTTCTATTATGCTCCTACTTAAGTATGGGACATGTAACTTAAAATAAAACTAAACTGACAACACAATTCAATATGAGGAAAAGACAGAAATACCCCTACTCAGCCGACAAATAAAAGCAAAGAATTATAAAACAATTGTGGTACATGATGCTACTCTTATGCCACTCTAAAAAACCTCTTCTCTATTTGGAACCCTCTTCAAAAACCCATTTTTTGTTTGTTTGATCTTTTCTGTAAACCTTAGTAAATATGGAAAACAAAATGATACAGTATATCAGTTGCATAAAACTGAAGTGTTGATATGATATAACAGGACACCTTAGTGTTCTGTGCCTGAGACAGATGACATGTCTATAGTAGTTTTACCATGCCAATTCTAATGAACATGCAGACATGATATATGTCAAGCAGTGCCCTGCAGTGTTGCACAGTGTCATGCCATGTCAAGGTGTCTAACACTCCTTAGATGCAAAGTGTCTGGACACTTCCAGCAACTGTATTGCTTGGTGAAAACTGCAAAGCAAGCGAGGAGCTCAACTTGGATGGAAAACAGGTTACTGTTTGTGCTCCAGATTGCAAAGTAGGAGAGTGGCTTAGAAGAGAATGGGTTGAGGATCTAATGTTACACTGCTAGGAAAAGTGAGCAACAACTACAGTTTAGGGTGCGTTAGGTTTCAGTATACAAGAGGAATGTATTTGGATTGTGGGGGCAAGGGATTGGGTTTGTTTCAAATTAGAAGTTAGGAGATCTAAAGCGCTTTTTTAAGGTTAATCAAAGAACCCTAAAAGATTTGGTAATCAAAGAATTTTCAAATTTGAATGATAGTGAGATGACTACTAGGGTTAAAAGTTAGACAGAATCCTCCACTGGTATGTTAAGCCAGCAGTGCTAAACAAAGTAGTAAGCACATTGTTGCTGAAGGCAAAAAATCACTAAAACGGTGTAGTAATCACAAGTCTATATATATCCCATGTATGGCATGATTGGAGTGGACTGACCCAATATCTGAAAGTAGTAAGCACATTCCTATCCATGCTGGTTTTTGGTGTAGGCATTTTCCTAGGCTAAACATGGTCAGTTATGAGGTTGCTAGATCATTGCAACCATATACGCCCTATGTATATTGATCAATAATCATTTTATGTATTACTAATTAAGAATAATTCCTACATCTGTAAGGGAAAAATTGTTCTGAGACATGTTTTAAGACTGTTTTACCCACCTGTGCAGGAAGAAGTGGACAAATTTCAGAGGCATGGTCAGCAAGAGTTTCTGGAAAGTGCCGATTTTCTCTCCAGTTATAGCATAACCACATTGATTCAAAATATGCAGATGGCAGCAGCAGAAGTTCTCAAAGAGTGAGTTGTTAATACCAGTGTTTTAAAAGGTGTGGGAGGCATATGCCTGGAGTGCCCCCCAAAATGCCCTGAGGTGTATGCCAGAGGCATTGATACCTCCGAGGTGTATGCCTCAGGTGCAAGACCCCCCTTTCAGCTAGTATTATGCATCTTCATTCTTCTTAATATAAAAGATTTTTATTGAAAATAAAGAAAAGTGAGATCCTCCCTCCTCTTCCTCCTCCACCCTCCTCTCAAGGACGCCTCCTTGTGTTCAGGAAGCTTATGCCTCTTATGTTCTGAACTACGTCTCATGCTTCTAGGTAGTGGAATGCCTCGCATCATGCCTCCATGTTTTAAAACATCGGTTGGTGCAGGTTCTCTACTCTGGGTTTTGATGTACTTCCAACATGACTTTTACAACTGAAATCAGACACTAGCTAGAGTCTGTAGAAGTAACATTCCTTACTTCTTAGTCCTTGGGGGTGTGGGGTGGGAGGAGCACATGTACCATATAACCCTAGAGAATCTGATAGGGCATTGCATATTTTTTTACTAAAATGTCATTGTATCATTATTTTCTTTCAAATCTTTGGAGTTTTTGCTAGATAATTTACTTAAATTTCCAATCATCCATGTGCAGGGAACAGCTAAGGCATCCCTTCAACAGTTCACTACTTCATGAAACCATCATGCAGATACTGGACATGTTTATGAACATGAATGGCCCTAATCACTGGGTGACCTATTTGGTACCTGAAAATGCTTTATCGTACAAGCACCAAAGTGCCACATCTTCCAATGAAGCGCTTCCTGATATTAGCAAACTTGACCAACTCATGACAGAGACACGTGCTGTACTATTGAGGTTAGTAACATGTCAGGCAGATGCTAAACATCTAATTTCATCCCATTTCTAGTGTAACATTTGATAGGGGCCATTACGTGGCGTAATGGTAAAATCTTGTGCTTGTGAGAACACATTCACTTTGTGTGAAAAGTGCCAAAGGATAGGACCACACCCAGTCTACCCCTCCCAAGATCTCAGATAGTTAAAACTAACATTGGGTAATGGCCTTTTGCTGGTATAACGTTTGATGCAAAGTCTACTGTTTTGGTACCAATTGATGTAGGATGTCTATTACTCCAAGGGTGAGTCTAGAATGTTTTAGTTAGCTACAATAGGCTTTAGGGATGATTTTAGGACTAAGAGATTAGTTAGTGTTGGAGTTTAGCCATAAAAAGTTCAGGTTTGTTCCTTTCCTTATCTTCAAAAAGTCTTCTATTTCTTTCACTATTGGGGTGGCCAATTCTACTAGATCTAGGAGAAAAATAATTATAGAACTACGGCTGTTGGCATGTGATGAATTTAAAAGTGCTATTACTGATGATATTGAGAAGTGAATGAAAAACATGGTGTCTTTCCCCTTGTGTGCATTCTTGTTTGAGGATTGGAGAAAAAACACTAACCATTCTTCTCTTGAATTGCCAGTATACTAAGCTTTGAAACCACTTCTCTATCCTTAAAAGTGATTGGGTTGTCCCAGCTAATGTCAAGGATTGGTTTACTACAAACATATGAGAATGCCACACAAGAAGACAGGAGATACTATGGCAGTGTACGCATGCGGCTGTGTTGTTGGGTTTATGGGGGGAAAGGAACACAAGAATCTTTAAAGATAAAGTATTTGGTGTGCAATGAATTTAAGGAGTGACCATAAATAAATTGCCAAGGTGATTGGCAAATTGTAGCAGGATATCAAAGCAAAGGCAACAAAGAAATGAAAAATGGGAAATACCTGGTATGGGAAGGTTGAAATTTAATTTCAATTGATAGTCTTGGCAATCCAGGGGCCTCAGGTGTAGAGGGGTGATTAGATATTGCAACAGTAATATCCTTCTTAGTTCATTAGGTCCAATAGGGCAAGGCAATTTTCTATAGGCAGAGTTACTTGCTTTAATCCAAGTATTGGCGGACGGAGTGGGTGGAGTGATCTACACATGAAGGGAGGTTTCCAACAATAATTTCTTAGATAAAGGCATCTGGGGAATCCCTTCGTGTTTGAGGCTATTGGTGGTCAAGCACACTATTTGAAAACTCATTCAAGTACCTAGAAGGGCAAATTGCTTGGCCAATGGCTAAACTAAAACACGGGTTGTAAAGGAAAATTTGGAATGGGGATTACTAGGGTCATGAATCGACTTGTAACTTCACTTGTTATAATTTTTTACCTTTAAGTTGTGGCAAATAGGCCAAGGTTCAAAATATCAAAACACCCCAATATGGCAAAAGGGGTGTATGGATACTTTAAACCGCTTTTATTTATTTTATTTTCAAAATTGCATAGAGTAGTATTCTTTTATATACTTTATATTTATTAAAACATGATTTCTAAAAACTCCTATAAAATAGGTTTGTCGACACTTAAAAGATACAATATGATATGTGGGGCATATCGTATCAAGATTTTGAAGTTAGCATTGAAGGGGATTGCCAAGTTCTTTTAAGTTTGATGAGACAAGATGACATACCATGGAGGAACAATGTAGAGAAGATGGGCCGAATGGCCCATAGGATGTTTGTCCTTTTTATCCTTTTATGTTCTTTGCTGTAATGGGCCTTAATTTCTCTTATGTTATGTTTTTTAATTTTCTGCCCAACCAGGGGCCTCTCTGTAAATTACTAAAGCTTAAGTTAATGAAATGGGATTAGGGGTGTAAGAGGAGATTATGTTCGAAATCTCTCTCTGAACCCTTATTGCCTTCACCTTCTTCTTCCTCTCCTCTCTTCTTGAAACCTGATCTCTACTACTTTCAATCGATTCTCTGCAATATTGTAAATGGTCCTTTCATTTTAAAAGGTTGTTTTTCTTCTTGGTATTAGAGTAGGCTCTTCTTCTCTTTTTCACCTCTTTTTTCCCATACACGGTGTGTATGGAGAACTGATTTGGATGAATAGTTAAAGAAACCTGTTTCAGCCCAGTTTCTAGAGAGAAGGGGACTGGTTTTGTCATCCTCCTGATAGTTTCAAGTGTGTTGCCTGAAACCCTAATTTTCTGGAGAAATTTGATTGCGGGCCCCACAGGGAGTTTGACCTGGACGCTCAGTGGATGAAAGACTTCTTATTCTTCATCTTGAAGATCAATTCAAGTTGCTTGGTGTTTTGTGGAGTCTACAATGTGCGGCTGAGTTTTCTTTGTTTCTCACGGGTTCCAAGTGTGACGCAGTTAGCCGGTACGACTGCATAGAGGTTGACTCACAACACAATTTTTCTTCTGTCTTCATTGATTGTTATTCGAAGTTATTCGAAGTTATTAGAAGTTATTTTTGAATTGTTTTAAGATGGACCCTTCAAAAGTTGAAAACAAGCATGTTGCTAAATTTGGATAGGTTCCGGGAGCCTCTGTTGACTCTCTACTGGCTGTGAGCACAGTCAAGCTAGATGGAACTAATTATCTAGCTTGGTCACAATCAATAAAAATTCATATCTGCAGTAGAGGCTGTTATAATTCAGGTCTGCCTTAGAGTTCGGCCTGACTGAGTTCAGTTATGTAGAAGAAGAAAAAGTGATAAAGAAAGAGAGAAAGAGAGAAAGAGAGAAAGAGAGAAAGAGAGAAAGAGAGAATTCTGGTTCGAACTGAAAGAGTCAACTTGACTTCTCCCAGTCGGCCAGTAAGTATTTATATTATTATTAAAACA